GTCACAAAAAGGGTCATCACTTCGACGAGTGGTCGGTCGGCAAGAAAGGCGGCCGACAGACGGGTCGTAAGCATCGGTTCCGGGAGGCGAAGAACAAATTCCAGCGCATGGATGGCACCAAAAGACCCCGAAGTCGGCGCTCCAAAGGAAGACGCAAACGACAGAGACATCGAAGAGCCAGCAGAAGAGCTCAGAGGAGACACAGAAGACGCGCCGCTCGGGAAGAGGACGACGAGTCGAGCGGTGGTTCCCGGAGAGGACGCAGAGGAAGATCTAGAAGTAGGTCCAGAAGAAGATCCAGAAGTCGGTCCCGAAGCAGATCTAGAAGTAGGAGTGGGAGCCGACGCAGAGGCAGATCTAGCCATCGCCGCAGATAATGTCATTCACACGACACACACCTCATTAGACATCACATCTAAGTCTATGTCTTCGCCATCAAAGTCTTCATTTCTTATATGCATTGATTTGTCCACAAAATTGTGTGTTTAGTCTCAATAAAAACCATTCATTCGTTTCAAACCATTTAAAGTGAAAATAAATGATTATATTTTAGATATAGATCTAGTATTCAATGAATTGTATAATTTTTATTTCAAAGTATTATGACTTCAAATCAAAAGAGAGATCAGAAATGATTTTGTTGAATGAAAAATTAGTCTTAGTTTTAAGAATAACTGAAGCATTCATTTGAATACACTTTTTATTGACAGAAATAATTGATTTGAAACATAAAATTGATAACAAAATCGGGAGTAAGTGTTTGTCCACTGAATGACTGTAAGGCTATAATTTTGTGTGCGTTTGAGAGACTATTTAAACTTCATTAACTCATTAATATGATAAAACAGGTGCATAGCCTATGCAGCATAGGTGCCAATAAACTAGATTTGTGTCTAACAGTTAGTTAATTGTTTTAAATTTGAAACAATAATCTCAACTGTCAAAAAATATCTGCGTAAATCAGCCATTGGTTTATAAATGTTGGACTACTGTGGTAAATGCCAGTTTTATTTAAACAATTGAAATCAGGATTATTAGATTCAAATGGGAATATCAAACAAATTAATAACAAAAGTCAAACCAAATACATGTCTCAAACACAGACATCTCATACATTATCATTAAGTGACACCAATTGTATAGGAAAACCTAAATCATTAAGAGCGGGCGAACGGTCCCCTTCTGTCCAGATATCATCCACTCGTTTATCGCCCGTAAGTCCCGAACCAATAACACCGCCGACGATGAAGGGAAAGGCGGATGAATTGAAAATGACTGAAACGAATACAGTGTTTGGTCCGAAACCAACTCTGGCCTACTGTACGAAGTGTCGGTCCCAATGTCTGACCCGAACCCGAACCAAAGCGGGTCAGTGTCTCATAGTATCGGCAATCGGGTGCTGTCTGTTTGGTGTGATGTGTTGTTTCTGCTGTTTAACGGCACTGATGCCGGCGCTCATCGAAGACTTTTATGATATTCAACATAATTGCCGAAATTGTGGACAACTCTTAGGCGAATACCAGAGATAAAAATCTTTACAAATACTAATAACAACCATATCATCAGGGTAGTTTTTATAAATAATTCATTTTATATTAGCATTTGGTTTATACTTACAAATTATAACTTTATTCTTAATTAACAGTCAATTTGATAACTTATTTATAATAATATATGTATTTATCAAAACATTTTAAGTATTAATGAATTATTAATAATACTGTCAAATAAAAAGCACTTTAAATATGAATGAAATCTATTGTTCGGAGTCTTTCTTGTCGGCGACCGGTCTTAACGATCGCCGGAAGTCTTTGTTTTTCATTTCGCTAATCAATAGCTTCTGTTGCGATCCAAACATGGGAACGGCAGTCCGTTTTGGGCTCTCATTCACACAATCATCTGTCTGTTCCTCGCATTCACTGGACAGGCATTCCTCACGCGATGTATGCTTCCTATAGAGTGTCGGCGACGACAGTAAAGGTTTGGTCACATTATCAATGGTTTCGCTGAACCGCGACTTCGATGACCGCAACGTTGTGTTGATGTCCTCGAGAGACATCTTCGACAGCGAGGAACTACTGAGCGATCGTTCGGTGAATACCTTAGTGTGCGATACATTCTCTTCAGTTCTCGTTGATATCACTTCCGTTTTGTCCCGTTTTCGCACTTCAATCGACTCGTAATCTCGGGTTTGACTGAAGTTTTCTTCAGACACTTCTTCAGACACTTTCACGTGTTTTGTTTCACCGAAACTGGTCAACAACTCGTCAATCACTTTGTCGTTCAATTGGTGATCGCTGTTCAGAGTTATGTCGAAAGTCTTAACAGAACTCATTTGAGTGACATTTCTCGTGATCTCCTGTTTCTGTGACTCAGTCCTAAAATAGTCGGAAAACTCGTCAAACTTTTTGTAATCTCCGGTCGATATCTCTTCGAACGAGTCTTTCATCAAATCTATTCCTTCCGTTCGGTTGTCAGCGCTTTGTTTGTCTAATTCAGACACTTCTTCAAAGTCCATCAAATCATCGCTTTTACTGTTGGCACCGGAATCCAAATTGTCGAACAACTCGTCCACCAATTCTTCCTCTTTATTCATGAGATTGTCTTCATTTGCATCAGACTTCTCATCGGAATCCTTATTAAACACCACTTTTACAGAAAGCCTTGATTTCGGTTTCTTTGGTCGAGATTTGTTAAAATGCTTTAAATTTTGGGTTTCATTTTTGTCCCAAAAGTCATCCTTCAATTCACTTTCATTTATCACTTGCTTTTCATACAAGTCTTCGTCTATGATCTCATTTTCAACGGATGGCAACAAATCATTGACCTCTTCATTAGGAAATGGTTTCTCATTCCTCGAGTTCTCAAATACTTTATTCACTTCATTCATCACATTTTTGGTCATCTCTTCCACAATCACATCCGGAGCCTTATATTGGTTATCATTCAAGTCATTCACGTCTTGTGTGACATAAAACTCTTCATTTGGTGTCGATTGTGGCAAATCATTGTCTTTGTGGACCGATTCTGTTGTTATACTGTCTTCTTGTTCTCGTCTTTTATTATATTCAAGAACTTCTTCATCAGGTTTTGATGAGAACAACAGGTTTAAGATGAGGACCAGAATCGCGCCGACAATTACCGTCGATATGATTGTCAACAAAATTGCCGACATTTTTCAGACTTTTATAATTAATTATTGGTTTTGTTATAAATAATTAAATTCAAATTAAATTAAACTTTATATTACAGTACTGTATGTGAAACAGACGGTGAAAACTAACGACTACTGAATATCACTTGAGATCACATATGAAAACGGTTTGAAATTCGTTATATTATCACAAAATTGATTTCATATCACATATTATAAGGCTCTCCGATAAGGATATATTGACTCAGGGCACTTTTCAGTCAAAATACATTATATATATACACTGAAACAATGTTGTCCAGAAAAATATTATTATTATTTTAAATTTTTATGATTATTACAGAGAAATGATAGTCGCCTCAGAGCACAGGAATCGGCATAACTTTCATGTGAGAAAAGTCTAATAAAAAACGGCTGAAAATATAAATCAAACCGAAATGAGACTATAATAAAAACATATCTCACTTGTGATTAAGAAATACATGACAAGAGAGTGGTTGCGGTTATCGTCGACGACAACCTAAATAAACTTCTCGTCGTCTTCTGGAGAGTCACTCAATCGCTGATAACAGGCCTGTAATTAATGTTGTCGTCAATTGAAGTTTTCTTTACTAATAAATATAATATTCAACTCAATTGTATAGCTATTATGCACTTTGGCTGACATTGAATATCAGTGTAAGTAGTATTCAATGAATACAACACTGAATTAATATTCTGTGCGAAACACTACATATTATAAGATATAAGTTACTAGTATTTGACTCAATAGTCAGAACAGGATATTTGTAAATTGCAACTAATCTCAAACATAGCTAACATAACTAAACATAACAACTAAAAAGTTAACTGACATTAAACATACGGTGTATTACACACACCCTTCCTCGCAAATATTTAGATCACTTTTTTCGTTATATTATTTAAACAGTATTTTGAAATGTAAACTATTTTTCTATGGAAAGTATTTCTTACTTGAATTGAAGTGTTTTACTTATCTCTTCAATACTGATGTCATTATAACATATAAACACAATTAGTCATTGTCTATGAGTTTGCAAAGTATAATAGTAATAATAATTTCCAAGTCTGAGAATATTCAACAAATTATTCAAATGTATACACATTTATTCAATGTTTGTTATATTTTTTCGCTAAATATTACTATTAAATAGTTTAAATATCATATATACTCAGTTTTTCATAAAAATGATTGTTCGCATAATATAAACACAGTTTCACAGCACATGAATAAACCTTGAACAAACATTTTCAAACGAACATTAAATCACTACTATTTTGGGAATTTTTAATATTCAATACATTTCCGAGACTATCATTAGATGTTTTGCTCAGTCATACGATTGTATTATTTGTATTTGATTGAGTTTATAGATATCATACTAAATTTTATAATAAATTATTAATATTATTGTCATTTGTTATATCATTTCCTAATTACTATCATTTTTAAGTTATGAAAATTTTATAACAAAAACCCAATTTTTATGTGAATATAATATGGCAAATATTATACAAGCATTGTGGTGTTAAATATTAGTAAAATGCTTACCTTGCAAAATACAACATAAATAGCATCTAATTAAAATATATTGAGTGTATTTGTATTACACTTCACACAAGCAAACAATTTAAAGACAAAAACATATTTTGCAAAACTAGTTGAATTACAATTTGAAATTAAGACAAAACAAATAGTCTGTTTATAAACACTATTGTTTATATGAATTTGCACTTTTAAATATATTACTATTGTGATAACTTAATTATATTTACAATATAATTCAATAACAATATAATACTGTACATTTTTTTATTAAATTGTAAAATAACCAATGGAAACCGTTGATAGTAAAAACACAATTTAATAGTTTTATATGGTTTTTAGCGAATATATTTTATTTTATTAACATATAAATTATTTGATAATAATTTTAATTAATAATGAACACCATGAAGGCCAGGGTATTGTACTACCTACTAAAAAATAATATTTTATTTAAGAAATAGCATTTGCATAAATTAACTTCTCATAAGTATAGAGCTTAAAAGTAATTTATTATAATTACTGTATTATAGAGACAATTAAACGCATATAATATCATATTAATAGCTAAAATTGAAAAAATCAAAATCAATTCATTCGCAAAAGTCAATAAATCGATTGAAATTCATTTTTGAAGGCCTGAGCTATTAATTAAAATATTTCGCATTAATTGTATGGAAATGAGTGAAAACCATAGATTGACTGAAGCCATGGTATAAATGGTCATGAATTTAAAATATGTAAAAAATGCTATAACTTTGATTACGATTTTAGTAATAAATAAAACATCCGCCAAAACAATGGCCACATATGACACCTATTTTATGGACTCTTATTGTTCACCGAGTAGTCCACCAAATAGTAAGACTCAGACAACTTCTGGAAGCGCTTCAGTCATACAGTTAGGCAAAGAGTCGTGTAATTCTGTGGCAACACTTCGCGCCTTTAAGACAGAATATCCTAATAATGGTATGAGTTTTGAAACTTTAAATCAACAAGGTCATTGATTGTTGAATAATTTAGCCAAATGTGAAGTGACTGTCAAATCTCCGGCCGGTTTTGGACTCATAGCTGTCCTTAAATACGCGTCTTTCCGGCCGACGCTTCCGTGCGCTACGGACAGGGATGAGGTGATTGTGTCGCTCAACAAAACACTTCAGTATAACTTCAGTTCAAGTGGTAGTCGTAGCGAAGACTTCGCCACAGACATAAGTGACACCGATATTGGGGTCAAGTTTATCACCACAAACATGAGAGACCCGATGCCTGCCAACGGATTTGAGATACATTTCACGGCTTATAAACTCATTGAGAGTTCAGGTATTGTATGAGACGAGTGTTTGAATGATTGAAAAATTTGTTTTAATGATTGAAAAATGAGTTTTCATTAATGTTTGCGTTGTGTTTGATGTTTGATTGATGGATAGGTCTCTGCAGTGACGGCTACTTTGATTGCGATAACACGCGTTGTGTACACAATGGCCTCAAATGCGACCGAATAGACAAATTTCAAACCGTTTTCATATGTGATCTCAAGTGATATTCAGTAGTCGTTAGTTTTCACCGTCTGTTTCACATACAGTACTGTAATATAAAGTTTAATTTAATTTGAATTTAATTATTTATAACAAAACTAATAATTAATTATAAAAGTCTGAAAATGTCGGCAATTTTATTGACAATCATATCGACGGTAATTGTCGGCGCGATTCTGGTCCTCATCTTAAACCTGTTGTTCTCATCAAAACCTGACGAAGAAGTTCTTGAATATAATAAAAGACGAGAACAAGAGGACAGTATAACAACAGAATCGGTCCACAAAGACAATGATTTGCCACAATCGACACCAAATGAAGAGTTTTATATCACACAAGACGTGAATGACTTGAATGATAACCAATATAAGGCTCCGGATGTGATTGTGGAAGAGATCACCAAAAATGTGATGAATGAAGTGAATAAAGTATTTGAGAACTCGAGGAATGAGAAACCATTTCCTAATGAAGAGGTGAATAATTTGTTGCCATCCGTTGAAAATGAGATCATAGACGAAGACTTGTATGAAAAGCAAGTGATAAATGAAAGTGAATTGAAGGATGACTTTTGGGACAAAAATGAAACCCAAAATTTAAAGCATTTTAA